AAAGGAAAGTGAGGGTGGAAGGGTGGAGGAAAGAAAGGGAGGGATGGGATGGGATGGGAGGAGGAGGGAAGAAGAATTGGGGAGGTAGGAGAGGGAGGGAGGGAGGGAGAATGTGATGTGCTGTTGTGGTACCATGTTTTTTTTCTACAGAAACTTGAGCAAGCTCACCGTCCGTCTCCTCTAGATAGTGGAACGTCAGCGACTAATTACTGCCTCAGAATGACATGGTTCTGTCTGATGTTTTTGGCCGCTTTGAGTTACGAAGACCACGAGATCAGAAACCAAATGTTCTATCTGTTCTGTCAAAATGTTAAGATTATCCAGTGTTGGTATCAAGATATAAATCAGACCGAAGGGCTAGAACCCAAATGGCCGCTGGATCGGAATAGTAAAGTAGTAAAAATAAAGTATCAAGATATTCAAAGAATTACATTCGCAAAAAAAAATTGACGTGTTGTGAAACTCAAATATTTTATGTCAAATTTATCAAAACCAGGCACTGCGTCAATAGAACTTTATAATTCTTTGGTTTCTGACCTCATGGTTTTAGTAACTCAAAACAACGAAAAATGTCAGAAAGAACTTTATAATTCTGGTGTAACGATGTATCTATTTCCGTAGGGCTTAAAAAAAATCCGAAATGTAACTCATTTTGTCAGCGCACGTCTCAAATGTTTCCTGTTACGGTTGCGTTGTGTGTTGTGAGTACGGTATGCCAAATTTTGAGACGGGCGATGTTTGTGAGTTTGTTTTGACTGTTTCATGAAGCGACATCTGAGCTGATGATGCATATCTCTATAAATAGCCCGATCGACAGACAGTGTTGTGCGTCTGATGGAAGAATCTCTCGATTGCCGTGGTATGGTGGGGCTGTGATTTTTTTGTTACTGTCATTTATTTACGAGGTTTTGATTTCTTTTTCCAGTTTTATACAAATGTGGGTGTATCTTTTTTCACTGATCCTTTTGTTGGTGGAGCTCTGTATGTACAGCCGAATACGGATATCTTGGTCTGAGCATAACACCACGATTATATTTTATCTGTTTGACGGAAATTTCCGTGTTGTGACTTCAGTTGACTGGTCGTAGGTTTCTCTTCCTTACGCCCTCTCAACCCAAGATCACTGGGTATGTTTCTTGTTTATTTACTGACAAAATTTGTATATGTGTGGTTTGCAAAACAAGTATATAAATATATTTGGTAACAAGAATAGCTGACTTAAAATGAAATCCTTATCAAAAGTTCACAGATTGATTTCTTTGCCCATATGTTCTGATGTATGTATGTTCTATCAAATTTTGACATTTTTACTCTGTGTCAGCAAAATATATATATATATATATATATATATATATATATGCAGTGGGGTCTATTTTAACTAAACGTGGTTAATTTGAAAAGAATGGTAAACAGACAGGAGATAAAATCATCTTTTTTTCTTCTTGTTTATCTTTGTAAGAAAACTGAGTTTGCCGAAATGCTCCCATTTCTAAACCAAAAAGAACTTTGGGAGCTATGCTGTCTAAATAAATCTTGACTAGCAACTCGCAAGTAAGGCAAATCATCAACAAGTCTTACGGGATTCAAGACAGCGAAACAGGAAGAAGAGACGTGAGTGTGTGCGTGTGTCGATTGTGGGCCAGAGAGAAAAACATTGACAGTGTACAGTTTGCCTACATTTCTTCGCCTCAGGACTATTTTGTCTAAAGTGCTTCTTTACTGAAGTACATTTTGGACAAAATAGTTCTGATGCGACGAATAGTCTTACTCATATCAAAAGGCCTACACACTGCGTGTAGACAGTTTACTTTAGCTGCGCACATATATAAACAGACCTACACACTGCGTACTGTATATTTTAGCTACACACTACACATATCAACAAGCCTACACACTGCGTATAGGCCTGGTGAAACAAGGATAGCGCATGTACATCTGTCGCTCGGCCTTTGACTAGTTTATCAAGTCTAACAGAGCTACACTATATTATTATATCAAGCCTGACAGAGCTATATATGGAGTCAACGTAACGTGTGGATTCCTTCCTCTTTGAATGAAAAAAAAATGTTGTATTATTTTTGTTGTTGTTGTTGTTGATATGTTTTTACTCGATCGATCCTGGTTGATATTACTGAGAGCATTTCATGATCTCCCAGCAGCTGTTGCGGCAGGAGGGCACTGTTGTCAGAGCGAGGCCTGCCTTTTCTGTGTTGAAAGAGGCGTGACTGCTTGACCCGTTCTCTCAACAAATATCCTGAAGCTGACCTTTTGTCTCAATCAGATTTTGTCGTCTTCGGTGACTTTGCTGGGTGCGTGTATAGATCTGAACACACAATGGACCCTTGATGGACTGTCGTCAGTGGGTGACAGTATGGATGGAATGTTCGTCTGTGTACAGTTACTACATTATGGGTTCTGAACATACTTGAGATATAATCTATTATGTGAGGCATCGTGGTGAAATCAGGCGCTAATCAAAATAACGAAATGGAAGAAAAAGGCATTTTGCCCTCAGTTTGGCAATTTGTACCGAAATTTTGTTTTTTTGGCTCAACGCTTTTTATGTCCATAAAAGCAAATTTTCATATGAATTTTACTGAAAGACTTTGAGTAATGGCACAAAATATGTAAATGTTCAGCTTTCAAGGACTCTAAGCTATAAAATCTAGAAGTTACCAAACTTTGATGGCCATTTTCTCGCTAATTTGATCTCTGAGTCCAGGCTACCCCACTTCCTTCAATGGCGAATATCTCGACTTCTATTCAAGATAGATGGGTGCTTTTTTCGTAGATCAAGGCAAACGAATAAAAGCTTTCAGAGGATACCAATAACTCCACGTGCCCAAAAGTTGACGAGTGCCTGATTCCAACGTGTTGTGACGCATGTAATAATTAATACACACGCGCTCGCAGACACACATGTACTTTACATTTATATTTATATATATATTTGTGTGTGTTTGTGTGTGTCATGTATAAATATGTGTGTGTATAAGGGTTTTCTATGCTTCTTGATTTAATCCTCAGTATTCAGTAGCCTAGATCTGAGAGTGTCGACTATACTTTAATATACAGTCGACTCCGCTTGTGTTGAACTCGCCTGAGTTGATCTTCGGTTAAGTAGGCTAGATCTTTTCCTCTTGTCCCACCACCTCTTCTTCTTTACAGTACAGGTCCCAAAGATTTAGTTGAACTTTGGAAAAGTTTATCTTT